TATTTTTCATATTAAGTATTTTTAGGTTCAAATTAATTTAGGTTGCCTTCTTTCTTGTCTTGTAGATATACGAAACTTAAGTGACGTATGAGTCTAGAGTCGTCTAGATGATGCCATTTTCACCTTTTAAAAATTATTTATTTATTAAAATAATAATGACTCATATAATAAACCAATTACCCGTGGTTACCCGCGGTTATACCCGTTACCCGTTGGGGCGGTTATGATTTGGGTAAAAATTACCCGTTGGGTAATGGGGCGGTTACAGGACGAGGGAATTACCTAACGGGGCGGATACAGTTATATGTAAAACCGTCCTCGATCCGCCCCGTTGTCATCCCTAACCAGAAGAGTAACTCAACCCTTATTTTCTTCTTATTAATACACAATTCACCACGCGAAATTAAAAGTTACGTGTTTGATAAAAATATTGACTTATAAGCCCGATAAGCCGAAAAAACAGAGTCACCAATTCAAGGAGCTCTTAATGTGTGTGACATCGAATTTTACTCGATGTACATTTTTCTGATTTCTAACTTGACACGTGACGGATACTTTTTTATAGATAAAGTGTTGTGGGAGGTCGACAAAATGTGTACGAAAGATGCGTAAATTCAATTGGTTATCAATGTTATTATATTACGGATGATGATTTAATTAAGAATAGATTATAATACATTAACAAGAGTAATTGTAAATAAGTAAACACATGCATATTGTCCTTACTCATATCGTACCATGTCTCTTTAATTTACGTCCAAGTGGAGGGATAGTTTGCAATCAAAAGAAAACACCTAAACTGGGTCACAACAAGGCAGAGGATATAATAAAGTACACATTCAGTAGACAGTAATTAATGATGATTTATTACAAGTAGATGCATAAAGTAATTAAGATGACACCAACCCTAAGGAGTAAGGATATTGAGATTAGAAAAAATAAAAGAAATTGAATTGCTTCAAACACAGATAAAACATTAGTGAATTAAAGTTTATCAATTTCTCCTATTGGTGTAATAATAGAAATTGATTCAAATTAAATAAGAGTAAAAGTATTATGAAATTCAAAAATTGTCTTTTTTAATCTTCAAATAGGAGTAATAACTTCAATATTTATTTGAAAAGTACGGTCAGTTGTGGCATTAATACTATCATTTTAATGTATGGTAGTGCCAAAATATGTCAGTATGATTTCAACATGAGAGTAATATAACCTATTTCCAAAATCTTTGATCAATGATTAATGATTAATGATTAGATGAGCTGATGAGGTACCATCACATTCTTCTTACTATTGTGTATTCTATGGTGAAATTCCATATTTGAAAATCTTTGATCATGATATTCTCATTATAAAGTACTCAGTATGTAGTACTAGTTGCGTCCTACTCAACTTTGTCAAGTTGAGGTTGGGTGGGAAATTAGAATAATAATATAGTAAAAACTGTGTGATTGATATTTGTGTAGAGGAGAGAAAAATGATAAAAGCAAAATTCATTGCTTTAAAAGAAAAATGAAAAGTTTTTGGGACAAACAAAAACTTAAAGTTGGCGAAGGGAGCATTATCTCACCATTTTACCTTATCAGATGCTTGTTTTCCCACTTAATTTTAAAGAGTTACTCTGTGTCACATAAATAATGACTCTGAGAGCCGGCTAATATAGATTCTCCAAGGACCGAGTGTACAAATACAAAATGAAATACAAAAGGAAAACACAAAAAAAAATGAAACAAAGAAACCAGCTAACATAAAATAATTATCATGAAAGAAGAATAGACGATTAAAAGAATAAAACCTAATTAAAGTTATTTAAACGTACTTATGCACGTGTAGGTTTAAAACAAGGCCATCCCTTTTATGTAACCCTATGCCCGTTTGATGAGAATCTAGCACTAGTTTGATGTAAACCTTTAGGGGTAATTCATAAACTTGGTTAGATATAAAAAAATAACGCCTTAAGTCATGCAATAAGACAAAGTTACAAATTTAAAAGATTTCATATTTACTCCGTACAAATTTGAAGGATTTCAAATTTACAAATTTAAAAGATTTAAATTTATAAATTTACCGCTCTTAACAAATGCAAAATGGCCACCGACAATCAGGTCACTGCGTACCACCCCGACTAAAACACTAATTAAACAATAAGTCGGATAAGGGTTAATTAACTAAAACCTGAAGGGTTTATTAAACAGAAAAAGAGTTAACTAAATCCTAGCTAGAAGGGCTAAACTTAACTCGACTAAAATAGACATGGTTTGTACTAATTGGACATTTTTCCAAAAAGAGTACGGTTTCGTTGAGAACACTTCTTAACGTGAGAAATGAGAACACTTCAAAACAATGCATATTATGGTTAATGAAAATGCACATTTATAATTAAAGTAATGCAAAATTCACATTTAATTTTCACATTTACACCTAAATTTTGCACAGTTGAAATGTGCATTTTCCAAATTCTGATATGCACATTTCTGTTTTTGATTATGCACGATACATAAATCCAATGCATCAGAATCATTCTCATCAATGACGGAGCCAGAAATTGTAGGTTTGAAGGCCGAGGCTTAAAGAATTTATGTTGTGGCGGTCAAAGCTCGAAGGGCCGAGCCATCCAGCGTAGTCTCCACCCCTGATTCGTATTGCTCTCCTAAGATATGTTTTCGTATATGATCCCTACTCTCCTAAAAAATGTGCATTCCTACGGTTCCTCCGATTACAATTAAGTAGTAACCTAATTAATTAAGATGATCATATATATATGGAGCGGTTCCGGTAAGAACGGATTCCCATGAGAGAAAATAAAAACGAATCTGGACCGTTGGATTGTATTATGTGGAACGGAAATGTCCATTTGATGAAACTGAAATGTGTATTACAATTTCAATTTCACCAAATGCACAATTCAGCTTCACTTAATGACATACACTTTGTGTTGCACATTTCAATTTCACCTAATGCACATCACAATTTCATCTAATGAACATTGAATTTGACTTAAAGCAAATCTAACGATCCAGATTTGTTCTCATTTCTCTCCTAATTAAGATCATGTTCTTATTTGAACCAAAATATATATAGTCACAAAATCCTATATGCAATAAACACTGAAATTATAATAATTAATTAAGCAGATGCCCATTCTAGCCTTGTACGGACCAAACTATACCTAAAGAATTTAGCATTATTGACTCTGAATTGGCGTCCCATGCTTACTAATAGAGGATATATGTGCAAGTAAAGACAAAAAGAATGGGTTTGTACGTGTTATAATTTATTCTTTTCACATGTTACTTAATTATTAGTAGCATATATTGTGAAGTAGACATGGAATTGGTCCATTGATCAGTTTTTCCTGCTTGGGAAACATGTCTTATATACATACATACTCCAAATCAGCCTATTTCTACTCATCACCGACGACGACCTTAAACAAACATCATCATTTGGTCATATGCTCTGTCTGCCTTTCCTCCTATAATTACCCTAAATTAATCCACTCCAGAACAAATTTCCTTAAAAACCAAAAGTATATATATATATATATATATATATATATATATATATATATATATATATATATATATATATATATATATATATATATATATATATATATATATATATATATATAAGTATATGCTAGAGGAAATTGCATGCAGTAAATAGGAGGAAAACGTTTGTCGTGTGCACGAGTAAAAGTAGGTGATTTGAAGCTTCACCTTTTACTATCTAAGTTAAAAGGTTTCTAAAGAGTCATTATTTCACACTTAGAACGCGGGTAATCTACAATCTCATTTGTCCTTTTATTTCATTGTAGTGTTGTAGATATTATGGATCGGTTTTATGGATCGGTTTCGATGAAATTGAATCCTACCAAACCGAATTAAATCGAATCGAAAGCGTATCCCATGTAATTCTGTTTGAGTTTGACAGTATTTCTTTCAAATTGCATAAATTGAATCGAATCAAAACAGCTAGAGAAAAGCCAAAATTAAAAACAAACCTAAATATATTATGGTGTATTAAAAACAACACATCCGAACCCAATGGAACCAAAGTGAAACATAGTACGTAGTACGTCATATGATTTTTGTTTTGGAATAATTCCTCGAATTCGTTTCAAATCGAACCGAAAGAGATATGTGCACTCCCCATAGAAGCCAGTACTCCTTTATTTATTCTTTTGGTTTTGCTAACATTTTAGGATGCAAGGTCAAATGGCACCGCGTTTTTCGTCCACTTTAATAAATATTTGACATGTTTAGACGTTTAGAGTCATTAGATCAATCATAAACCTGATGCTCGAGATGTGTTCCAATAAGTGAATGACTCTTCTTATTTGATCCAAAATGTATCTAAATATGTATGTATAAATATATAAATTTATCCTAGCCTGTCTATATACATACTACCTCCGTTCCACTAATATTGGGATATAAAGGATGACGTGACACGGTTATCAAGAAAAGTGAGTTTGTGTGGTTGATATTAGAGATAATTTGAGTTTGCACCCCACTTTATTGTCCAAATTGGATTTTGCACCCCGTTTTTAAAAATCTTTGTTTTTGCACCCTGTTTTTAAAAATCTTTGTTTCTGCATCCCAACCCCATATGAAAAGACAAAAATGCTCTCGATCAAGAATATGTGGAAGGCCAACACAATTGTTAATGGAGGGACATTTTTGTTTTTCAAATGGGTTGGGGTGCAAAAACAGATTTTTAAAAACGGGGTGCAAAGTCCAATTTGCACAATTAAATGGGGTGCAAATTCAAATTATCACTTGATATTAATTGATAAATTAAAGTAAGAATAAAATAAGAATGATTTAGAGTCACACGAATTTTACCAAATTTGATATGAGACAACATTAACGGACATACGAAAGTGACGACACTAGCCTGCACATACTGCCTCTGTGAAATGCATGTGAAACTGAATTAATAATCGGTACAGTGTTTAGGGTTGAGTTAGGCAATAATAGAAACTCAAAATTGGCAATAGACCTTAATTAAGAGGAACTTTCAAAATCATATAGCTAGTCTATCAATTATATGTTGAACAACTTTTGAATAACTAGCTAGCTGCTATGAAACTAATTAATGGAGTATACATATCTATAGCACTCATATATCTTTAACTTCTCCGATCCCATGAGTTTAACACGTACAAAAGATATGATTAATTAAGGTTTGTATGATTGTTACAAGTGTAGATCTAAACTCACGTGATTACCCTTCACGCCTGCCGGCTTCGGCTCGTATAGGAACCGGCTTTCATGAATAGTAGTGGGGCCACTATTAATACCCATGAACGGTGGCGGCGGCGGCGGCGACGACGGCTTCAGATCAGCGCCCTTCCCCGCGAAACGGTCACGGCTGAAGTAGTAAGAGGACGGCGGTGAACTTACAGGATGTGCCGTCGGGACCCTCCATACATTCAGCGGGCTGCCGGTGACGGCAGGCTGCTGGGAGTAAGGGTTCATCCCGCCGTTGCTGCCGTAAACCCTTGCGCCGCCGTTCCACGGCGGTGAGATATTATGGTGATACGACGGCACTGTTTGTGTGGTGGAGCCCATGCGGGCGTAGTTCATCAGGCCGTACAGCTGGATGTCCACGGCGGACAACCCGCCGTTCACCACCGCCGACTGGAGGGTGGCGCGCTTAGCGTGCTGCCGTTCCCGCTTGTGGGCGTTCTGGTGGCCGCCGAGGGCCTGCGAAGTGGGGAAGTTCCGGCAGCAGTAATGGCACTCGAACTTCCGGTTGGTTTCTGCGGCGTTGTCGCTTTCTTTGCTCTCCGAGCCGCCGTTGGATTCCGAGTCATCATCGGCGGCACCGCCGCCGAAGTCTTTCCCGAACAGACGAATGCCCTTCTCCTTCACCGGCGGCGTGGCACGGATGAAGGGAAGCTGCGAGAAAGATTCGGCGTTCATGAAGTCTAGAGTCTCTCTCTCATCGTTCTTCTCCATAAAGAAGTGTTAGTTTGGGCAAAATCTTGTATCTATCTAAGGAGGAAGGATATCTTGGAAGTTAGGAGCTAAAGCTTGATAGAAGAGACTCGAAGTATGTCATAGGAGTATGTCTTTTTTTGTATGTGAATTGAATGAATATACTTTGGGTTTAGGGTCAACAGTTTTATACTCCCTAATATACTATACATCATATCAACCATATGGAGTTAAATAATTATTGCATAGGTGAGTTAGGTCCACTTCCAATATGTACAAATAGTACAATTTCAAATTGGCTCCAAAGATATTTCGAAGATTAATTGTTACAATTTCACATCCCAAACTTTTAAAATAATAAATCATTATACTTCATTTCTCTCTTTTTAGTTGCAACGGTAAACATTTGACGTTTACCAACACACAACTTTGATCGTCATTATATTTAATTCTGTATTAGTAAAAATAAAATAAAAATCAGATTATAAAATTTAGTAATGAGACAAATTTAACAATATTTTTCAAAAAAAAAATAATTCACTTACATTAATAAATAAAATGTAGTCAAAATAAAGTACATGAATAGTGTCTATATTCCAATGTTGTAATTAATGCGATACGGATGATAGTATAAGATTTTGGACTACTCCTCATAACATATTGCTCTTTTAGCACGGAACCTTAGGTATTAATATGGTATTCGAGCTTGGTCCGATTGTGGTTTGATTGCTTGTTTAGCGCCCATGATTCAAGGGTAGCTTGTTAAGAGTTTGTTTGACTCATTTATACATCCCCATATTATACCCGGTTTGGGCTGAGAGGACATGTTGAATATTTGTCTCCCATAAAAATGCTACAAAATAATCAAACACTATATAAGGTTCTGAGTTACTCTTTCTATCAAATTGAACTTTTAGAATAGATCTAAGTCCTAACATTTCCTAATGGAGAAATGGCTATATAGCCTACAAAATAGATTAAAGTAAGTAATACAGAGTATTAATACTATGTATTGATGAAATGAGAATCCCAACGTTGCAAGCCTCTCCACAAGACATATCCAGTATCTCATTACCCTCAACATAACAAGTATATCCTCTCACTCTCTCACCAGAGGTAGAAAGGTCAACCCAAATTTGAGTAATATTCTTCGTCGGACATCCGAGAGATTCAAAGAAACACACAATGTTAGAAGTCATAATACTTCCAATTAAACAAGCCAACCAAACCTTCCAAACCTCTTTGAAGGAGTTAAGATTCCTAGATGAAAAGGCTCTCTTCGCGCATGACTTAAGATCTCGAAAATAGAGAAGAAAAACTGTGACTTGTGTGCGCGGGCGGCTTGCGTACACGAATGTCGTCCAAAAACCTACCTTACAAAGATACAATTTAAGTTTTGTTTTATCTCGTAACGTTCCTATTTTTTCTAGAATCAGCGGGCTAGCAGAGAAGGCTTATGTTTGCACCATAAGCGCTTTCTGTTCTGTCGCACCAGAAGCGGTTCTTCTGAACCTTTAATGCCCAACATTCTTCTCCTTTAATGTATCTTTAAATGGACAATTTTTTGACATATTAATTGATGGAGTATATGACCTTGGGACCCCCGGCCCACAGACTCCTACTTCTCCTACACAGGCCACCAAACCCGATGAGCACACAAAGCCCAAACGTAGCGGCCCAAGCATGTAGAAGCCCACGACGCACAAGCAGGTGCCTTCGGCCCTATGGCCGAAAGCTCTAAAATTCTAGGAGACAACTCGAAGTGGACCTGCAAAGCTTCTGGGATTTTCTGGCTAAAATATTAGCCTTCGGCTATTCAATGCCCTCGACTGTATATAGCCTTCGGCTATGTGATGCCTTCGGGTATTCTGAACTATTCAATGCCCTCGACTGTATACCTGCAAAGCTTCTGGGAATTTCCAACCACCGCATTTAATGCGGTGCACATGCAAATGTCGGTGCCACCCCGATTGAGATGATCCTCGGCTGTCAGATGTTTGACATGTATCGTTGCCTAGCATTTATGAGTACTATAAATAGCGGCCGTTTTCCATTGTAATACACACAACTTTCTATATTGAATACATATTCACTCTCTCTTACTTGCTCTGACCTCTCTCTAGGTTATTCCCCGCAATAACCCTTCAGATAAGCTACCCCCGGGTACACTATCCATCATTAATAATGCCCAATGTTCTGGTCATTTACGTCCAACGTTCAAGTCCATTAAAGGTCACTTAACACACAACAAATTCGTCCTTATATATAGCTGACAGGTGATTTGCAACAACACACAAACATACACAGTCTTCACATAGTTTTGAGCTAAAAACACCTCCAACTTTCCGAAAATTGCTCAGTGTTCTTGCCTTGTTTCCGTTCGCCGGAACAACCGATTGTGTGCTCAAATGGTTGTTCATAGCCACTGTATCCCGGGAAACTATCGCTGTAACGCTCCTAGCATCGTGGGAGGTAGCAAATACGTTTTAACAAAAATTGTGCGTTGCACGAGTTTTGGTTTTCTGTCCCTTCTTGTTTCGGTTTTCCATGGTTATTTTAATTAATTTCTTTATTTCCCAATTAAACACGCAGTTCACCCTACAATTTTTGTTCATGATATCATTGATTTTTCACTTATCTTACATTTATTCTTACTTGTACTTGATGTAGTAGAAGTGTAGAACAATGTAGCATCTTTTAGATCTGGTGCTTACTATTAGAATATGTCATTTTATGTTATATTTCAATTAGTCACTTAACCCCCTTCATAGTTTTCCAAAATAATATATAACGAACATAATCCGTATATATATTCACTATTTCTACCATTACTTGTGAGTTGTGATACTAATTCAACTAGCTAGTGTGTTGCAACACCCACAATAGTTTTCTTCATATATATCTACACAAATACACAATGTTAATGAGACAAACCAGTTCACATCAACTATCAAAAGCACACTTAAATAATGTTTCAAATATTTCACAAAAATAATAAAGTGACCTAAACAGTCGGTCACTAATGACCGAAACAAAAACAAACAACATTGATTATGCAAATATTCCCACATAGCAAATCCAAATACTCACAAATATAATAACAACCTTTGAAAATAAGGAGATATATAGGGTATTCTCTACATCTTCTAGCTTTTCTTTATTTCTTTATTTTTCATTTGAACTCTTAATTTTTCGTCCTTCACCTTTGTAAATTCACGAACTTTTTCAGCACTTTCTATTTTGTATCATCTATCTCCGATATCTCCATTTTACATGTGTGAAAACACCTAATACATGTATCATCCTTTATTTATGCTTACATAAATAGCATGTTTTCTTCCAATTTCACAATTGGAAGAGACTTTTCTTCTTTCAAACTCTAGTTATGGTTGTAAACATTCTTTAACTTTTGTGTATTTCATTTTTTAGTATTATTTACATCTAATCATGATTCATATCCATTTAATCCATTATCTTACATTTTAATCATATTTTTGACATCTTATACATTTACTTCACTTCATGCATATGTCTTATATTTCTTTTGTGACTACAGATTCTAGCACTAGTGAGTAGTGGGATTAGGGGTTGTGGATGGTTGGTCAATGACACTCAACCATGAGATCTTATAGGTTGTGGATTTGATTTGAAGAAATTTGAGAAATTTTTATGCACACACTATGTTTATGAAAATACCTAGTTGAATTTTTAAGGGGTGGTTTTTGTGGAGACATTGTTCTAAAATATTTTTGAACCCTAAAGAAGACTTTGTAGGTGCTTTTTGACACATTCACAAACACACTACCTCCTCTCTGTTAGAAAGAGAGAAGGTAGGAAAATAATTTGTTAGTTGTCCTTCATTGGATGGCTTTATGTTGCTATTGGAGCATGAGAGTGACCACTAGGTGCTTTTAGTACAACCTTCACCATGTGAGTATAACCAGAACTTGTACCTATCCATTTTACTGCATGAATGCATTCTAATGATTCCCATTATAACGCTTTACCCTGGCATCATAATGATTGATCCTTCTATGCATACACTTCCCTTTTGGCGAACAATTAAACTTATAAATTTTCATTTTTAGTCTTTCGAATATTATGTGTGAGAAACTTTTGATACTCATCTTTTGAAATTTTCCATATTTAGTCCTTCGACATTCAAAAAACTGACACTATTGGTCATAAGCTACTCTCATAGTAACATTTTTAGTCCATTTACTTTGACAAAGCGGGGGTGGAAGGACTAAAAGTATAATTTGACAATACTTAGAGAACTAAATATGTATAATTTCAAAGTCAAAGACTAAAAATATCGCTCTCGATCACAATATTTGAAAGATTATAGTGAAAAAAATCAAAAGCGATAGTTGAGGGATGACAAATGGCAAAAGCTCTTTCTACGTTATTTATTTATCTATGTACTCCCTATTGTACTAGTATACATCCTCCGTCCCCAAAACCTTTGTCAACTTTCTTTTTTTGATTGTCTCACTAATTAACTTTGTCTCTTTTCCTTAAAGAATTTGTGGTTCCAGATAATTCTCTCTCCTTTTCACAAACTCAACCACGCAATTTTTACTTTATTAATTTTTGTGTCTGTCAAACTTGACAAAGTTTTAAAGGACGAAGGGAGTACTATATACGGTATATGTGTCCATTACACTATTATACGATAGTATATGTGTGTGTTAAGGTGAGAAAGACAGATGGATACACTGAAGTTGAGAGTTAATAATGTGTGTGTTAAGGTGAGAAAGACTTGTGATGGCCGGAGTTGAGAGTTAATACTGTTGAACTTCATTTTAAATGCCTATATATATACATGAATTAAGGTGATTAGATGTAATGGTCTAACTATATATACATCGAAGTGCAGTGCTTATTGATGGCTAAAATGACACAAAACCACTCATTATTAACTGCAGAATAAGACATGTCTCCATTCGGCAAAGCAAAATGGGTCCTGATTTATTGTTGTTATTGTATTCAATTCACTGACGAATTGAATTGGACACCAGTCAAATAACACCCACCTTATTACTAGTATTATTATTAAAAATATAAATCTACTCCCTTCGTCCTTTAAAACTTTGTCATCTTTCCTTTCTGGGATGTCCCGAAAAACTTTGTCACTT